GCCTTTCAGTCTTGGGGTCCAGTCGCGGTTGACAAAGTTTGGCGAGGCAAAGTGCGGTAGCATCCTCAGAGCGGTTGGAAACAATCTCGCTCGCCAGGCCGTGCTCACACAAATCGCCTCTGATCCAGAGTGGCCCAGCGGCCCGACACGGAGCCCAAAACGCTTGGGCTTTGATGTTTCTTCCGTCTCATAACCTCTTTCACAGCTATGAAGACAGCTGGCACAATCTTTAAGCTCGCGAAAAGCATCGAAAGGCCTTCACGTCGCACCGGAAAATGTGGTCACGTAGTGCGCTTGGTGCCAGAAACGCAGCTTTAACTTTGAGCTTTGACATGACATTTGCTGCGTCAGCGTCATTCGAATGACGATTGGAGCTGATGCGCTGAAGTTGCATTCACGTAAACGCGGCTATAGGCAACAAATCTCTATTCGATTAGCTACAGTCCCATCCATGTAAACTCGGCCTTTGTCTATAGGTGACATTTACTTGACAGCACTCGCTAAGTGCGCTGGCGTTGGCCACCACGGTCGCCATCTTCGAGGTCTTTTTCTCTGCCATGAAGATGTAAGGTGTCGTCTGGCCGAACCTTTCAGCGTTGTTTAGCAGCATTTTACAACTTTAAAAAGTCTTTTTGGGTGAAACTAGGAGTTATTTTTATACTTTGGTGCTTGTGGGAGTTCTGTAAGAATAGTTTTTGCGTAGTGGCGTCTTGCCGGAATGCAATGAGAAAAGTGCCTCGTCTTCAAATGTGGTGCCTGTCATTTCGTGCGGCGGAAATAAGCTCACTGCAAAATAGCCCTCAGGTATAAGCTCATTGGAGATTACCTCATCGCAGATAACTTCACTGGAGATAACCTAATCGCAGATAATCTCATGGCAGATAACCTCACCAGATTCGTCTGGTGCAGAGAAAAGCTAGCCAGACTTCCGACAGATGCGGAGATAAGTTCACCTACCAATCTGAACCAGGTGTTCACTCAGTTGAAATACGTTCACTCAACAGACATATTGTTGGGTGGCACATGCGCATGCAGTTACTCTGCACTTATCTTGCAGGGCAATTTTTTTTAAATTTCTTTGTATATGCTTCATACCGGTTGTAGATTGCAGAACAAAAATAGTAATAACAATGAAGAAACAACAAAACATTCCATAGAACGGAATATACAGAATTGCCAAGGGATGGTATGACATGTGTAAAAGGCTGAGGTTTCAGTAGCTCTTGGATTTCTTTTTATACTGAATGGCCTTTTATGTAGTAGCCAGCATAACCATATCTTCACATTTTACAATTTCTTTCGGAATTTATGCTTTCAATCTAGACTCTCAAGATTGGCAAATAAAAAAGTCAATATTATCATGTTAAAAATTACCGTCGGACGTCGGAGCTAAGTTGGTGGCTATATAAGGATTTGAGAAAAAAAATCGTTCAGCCTTTCCACTCTCGTGAAGAAGGAAGACCAGCGGAGCTGTACTCGATACACTGTGTGCCTCTTCGTCGTCGTCTGTTTTTCGCGCTGTTTTTAAGATGAATTCCCATCAACGCGCCCAACTATCCATTCTTCTATTATAGCTGGAAAGGTTGCCGCCATCTACGAGCGATGGCGGAAACCATACTGATTGTGTGCTTGCCGCCGTCGCTCATAGATGGCGGTAGCTGTCCAGGTAGGTTTGTGTCGACATACACGGACACAGTCCTGGGGAACCTAGCTTTAAAGAGACAATGAAGACGATTTTATTTAATTTTTTTTACATGGTGTTTTTATGCTTCTTGGGAACATAGCATGCTGTCCAATTTTTTGTAGACATTTGTGACGCGTATTTCTGTGCCTACGAAAGAAGTAAAGAAACCTAAACTGAACAACCTCCATTCTCGTTTCTGGACCTCCGAAAATGGAGGTGACGTAGGGAGCGACATCAAGTGTGAATAGTTGGTATCGGTAGTATTTGGGAAATTGAGACTCTGGTTACCATGGTGGGTTATAGCAGCGCGGTGGCGCGATCATTTTGTCGAATCTGTCAACATGGACGGTAATGCTGCTCTCGCGAGCAAGTTCGAGCTTCTGTTCAGTGACCCAACACAAACGGAATGGGTGTATGTGTGTGGCGGCCTCCGCCATCACCCAACGGAGACCGCCCAGCCGGTAACGAGCTGCCCGCATGCCGAAGTGCCCATAGTTGCTCGTTGGCCGTTCCGCATCCAGCGTAGCAAAGAAAAAAACAATTATGCTGCTTTATTAACGGTTTAGTAATCATTTCCGATTCGATTTATACTTTTTATGGTTATCCAAGCGGAAATTGGAACAGTATTTCTAAAAATCGCGAACCAAAACGTGACCAAGGGCACGTCTCTCGTTCCGACCAATTGCTGACGCATCTCTTGTGACGTTGCGCTTCTTGGCCCCGCATTGGTCATGTGAGTTCCGCTTCTCCTGGCTTCTCCCGCAACTCTTGGAGCGTCGCCGCAGTCGATCCCGGTACGATTATTACCGCGACTGTTTAATTAATTTGCGCGGCACAGGAGTGCCGGTTTCGGCTGAAATTTGGGCAACGTGGCCTGAGACGTGCCTGGAACCCAGTTCAATCGCCAAAAAAATGTCCGAAATTGTCTTCATTGTCCCTTTAACAGCTCCGCTGTAAAAACACATTGGTTGGGTTTGAGACGACCCTTTTCTCCCCGTGTCCTTTATCTTCTAGCAAGTTGCCCATCTTTTATCACAGTCTCGGCTAATTTTCAACACGATCACCGTCCACCAGCTCACCTGCACACACACACACTGAATTTTCATTGATATCCTGTTCGTCTCGACAACATTAAAACTAAATATGGTGACAGTCACGCGAGAATGGTTGACGTGAATGTGGACATTTGGGCTGCAGGAGTGTGCCAGCTTCGAAACGTGTACAGCCTATGGGAAAGGTGCTTGTAGCCTTGGTTACACTGCTGCTCTACAATAGATGTGTTCAATTTACTTACATCTCCTGCACCAGTGCAGAAAAGTGTAGGCCAGTCTACTTCTGGTATGTGTAATTTAGATACGACCGGGAGCACACCGCTCTACGCTTTTCTGCATCGGTGCAGGAGGTGTAAGTTAATCGAACACAGCTAATGACAGCGACCACCTATTGGGTAGCCGTAGAACATTCGTAACTTCCCCATATTTTGAATTTTTTCGCTCCTCATTCTGGAAAATTGCTGACAATGTTATAAGCAACCAATTCTCATAGATATTATGTGCATTTGATTTCACAAATACTGCAAAACCTTCCCTCTAGTGAAATGGAGTTCCAGGGACATCTGTACAGATCGTGCCAGTGTGTTCACTCGTTATAGAAAATATAAAAAAAAGGTTGTAATGCACTTGGTAGTAAGCGGTCACACATGTGTGTACCAGCCTTTACACTTAAATGCTGTGGTCATCTTTGCAACCCCAGTTATGTCAAACTTGCAGGCATTTTAAGATTGCCCGCTCTGGAAGAGCAGTTTGATGTTCTGTCGGGCCCCGGTGAAGCATGAACGGCGATATGTACGACTCTTAATACATGATGCGCCTCCCGAATGCTCCGGGAGCCCATAGTAAGGCCCATTAGGGACGACGGCTTGGAGTTGGGCAATGATCATTATCACCACCACGGGGCGGGGGGAGTTTGTGTGCAAATATTGCGCCTGTGATTCACTGCTGTCGCTTGAAGTGTCTGTGAGTTGTTTGACTTGCACATTCCTTTCAATTGGACCCTATCACCCATCCCAGCAATTCGTGTTGCAGCGCGAGGATCTCGTCGGCAACTCGGAAATTGCTGGCAAAATTGCCCCGTATGAAGTGTGCCCGAGACGCGTACCTGGGTCTTCTGCAGCCATCGGGAACTCCCTCAATGCAGCCATCGGGAACTCCTTGTGCTGTGTTGTACCGAGCCTCAGAGAGAGCATCATCCCGCAGTCTTGTCGGCTGACTCGCGGTCTCTATGGCCTGTGACCCAGCCAAATCATGCAAACCATTTTTCTGCCCCTTCGCTTAAAGCTGTGGTGCAGCGATTTTAATGTCGAAAGAATTTGCAGCTCATATTTTCTACATCGTTTATTTAAGCACAAGTAAGAGAAAATGCGTCACCTTCTGCCGAAAAACTGCCATTCCGCCGCATGAGCGCAAAGGAAAAGAACAGATTATTTGCCAACCTGCAGCGATATGTGGTGTCAGTGGAGTATGCGTGGAAGTCACCAAAACCGGTCTACCTCTGCTGCTACACTTGCCATCAGCCCCTTGGCAAATCGTTTTTTGTCTCGATCGCCCAATCGCCGCAACATTCGGCCATGCTAATCCTCGAAAAGTTGACAATCCCGGACAGAGTCGTTGGAGGCCCTGAAGAGAGAACCAGGTGGTCCCCCAGTGGCAATGTTCGAAAGACGGCTGGAGAGTTGAGGGCTACTCTGACCTTTGAGTTGTTTTATTTTTAGAGTGCAGCTCTTAGGCGCCCGTTTCCGGCTTGAGTGGCGTCGCCGTTGGTGTAACCGCGCGGTGCATTATGGGTAAATTTCCCCGCTAAATCTAGCAGAAAAATTTCCCCGCTAAATCTAGCGGAAAGATTTCCCCGCTAAATTAGCGAAAAATTTCCCCACTAAATCTAGCGAAAAAATTTCCCCGCTAAATCTAGCGGAAAAATTTCTCTGGGGGTCACCTGGCCCCTCCCCCAAGTCACGTGACCCCCCCGAAACGTGACCCTCAGTACCCTTCCCTCCTCATCCTCAAGAGCTGCGCTCTAATTCGCCGTTACAGGGAGTTATAAACGGCTTTCATCTTTTAAGTAAAATCTAGTGCACACTAGAAAAAATGGTTTTCTGTTTTTCGTTTCATATGTGACAGATTAATTCCCACAGTTAATCGGCCAAAGTCTGAAAATGGCTGCACCCCTCCATCAATAGAAAATGGTTGCACCACCCCTTCTGTCTTTTCTGTGTGTGTATGTTTCTAAGTCAATTATATAATTTTTTTTTTCTCTGCAGGCAAAGAGGCACGCAGTTCTTCCCAATTTGTTGGTTATCACTTTTATGCTGCCTCGGTGAACACCGCCAGAAGGGATGTCCGCCACACCGAGGGACGAAAGTGGACACTTTGAGGGCTGTGGTGGAATGCCTGCTTCCAGTCTGCCCCTGGAGGGACGGTGCAACGGCACTTTCGCTGTTAAAGAAGGTAAGCCGACCTTACATTTCCGTCGTAACCAAAGCGATCGGAACAATTTATTTGGAAGACCTTTCGATTGCAGCAGCACGGATCAGGGGATTTTTTTTTGGCTTTGGGACGATGGAAAGGGGGAAACAGACAACTTGCTATGCTTTCAAAAAACAATACTAATGGGATAAGACAGAGAGCAGATTATAACCTCTCTGTTTAGGATAGTGTTAGGGGTACACTGTTTTTGAGGTAAAAAAATTGTTTTAGAAAACCACATTTCTGGAATTGGGTTTTCGAAGATCTGCATACATTTTTCACCTTGTCCTCGAGCATTTTCGTCAAATAAGTCCTGTTGATTTCAAACTATTTCTATCACAAATATATGTGGGTCTCTGATTGTTTTTTTCTTTGTTTTCTTTCAATGAGGTTTTTACACTCTTCACTGTTTTATGGAAGACATCTGCCAATTTTTTCATTCCTAATTTTTCTGGTAGTAGTAAAACAGGTATCTAGTAAAGGATATAAATATGTTAAATACAAGTAGTATTTTTTATAGCCTAGAACATTTCCACTGACAATAGTTTCAAAACTAAAATATTTCAGTGTCATTCAAAACCTCTAAATAACCCTGGACTTTTCACTTACATATTATTGGATTCTGTAGACCTTCTAGTTTACTGAGATATGTTTGTTCTAGTTTCAATATTTAAATTAGTCTTAATCCTTCCCATAATCATTGTAGATGACATGTTTACTAGTATCCAAACTAACTAAGCCATATCAAAACTGAGTGCATATTTCTAGTTAGAACATAAAGGCATATATAGTATATGTGTAAAGAAACACCATTTCAATTGGATCACAGAAAAAAAAAGCTCTAGAAGAAGAGTTTTTTTATTAAATGAACTGTCTACTCCTTGCCTGTTCCAAGCATTGAGCTCAGCTGCAGGTTTCTTTTGCTTTCCCTCTGGCAGAGCAACATGAAAAGTGTGCCATTCCTATTTCCCCGGCCTGGCATTGTGGGGATGCAGATGACCTCTTTACATCCCATGGGCACCTTCATGTTGAACAAAACACATTTGTGCTTGTGAAGAAAGGCAAGTTTCTCTTGCATCGCTACTCTAGCTTTTTTGCAGGTTGTGCCGATGGCCAATGGTAGTTTGTTGGACATTGAAGCAGAGAGTGGACCATGGTGCATTGCGATGCTGCTATCCACCATTCAGATTGTTTCACGATTGCTGTCGCTCCTTTCCAAGAATAAACTGTGTAAAAATGCACACACTTAGTCATCTTGTTACGCAAGTAACTTATTTCGCTTTTTTTGTAGGTGCACGTTATTGTTACGGAGCTGTAGCTCTAGCTCTACGTTTCGTCTTGACTGGCAACTATGGCTCCGCCCCTGACTCGACTCACAGAAACATTTGTGTGCCGTCTTCCGTAACAGAGCCAGAGGATGTGTCGTCTACTTTGGGGGACGGAAACTTGCACTCTTACGACTGCGGCGACTTGTCCGAATTTCCACCGCAACTGGCAGGACACGGGGACGGCGTCATTTTGGTCAAGGAAGGTGAGCTATAAGAAGCCCACTGGTCGAATTTTTCTCAACTGCAAAGACAGAACTGGACATATTTCGTTGCAGTGGGGAATTTCAGCAAGGGCGAATTTTGGCGGAAAAAAAGTATATTTCCTTAGCCAGAGTCGTGGAGAGAGCGAGGACTGTGGGGCGTGTCTTTCGAATGGCCGTCCTTCCTTTGGCACGGGCTCCATGCCTTCTACTGTGATTTGGCTGCAAGCGCGCGCTCGTGGTGCACGAGTCGTCGAAGCATTGTGGAAAGCTGGCGCCGGAGTCGGTACAACTGAACCTTCTCCCTGCCGTTCCCGCCTTGCCAGTGACTCCAGTTTGAGTTTTGTGCATATATGCACTCGGTGTTCGCTTGGTCCATATCTTACTCCTGCTCAATATAACAAGTCACTTCCCGAAAAAATGGCTCTCTAAACTGGCAAGTAAAGCAACATGAATGTAGATTTATTTTTTTTCCAAAATCGTCTGTTGCTGTTTTATAATTCATATTGTTATAAAGGAATAAAAAATGTGCATGACTGCATTTCGTCATTGTGGGGCCATTCTGACCATAGTTCCTGAATTACTTCACAGGCACTTATCTGTAGCCGTGGTTTTATAACAACAGTCAGCGAGTGTTTGTGCCACCAACACACGTTACAATTGCTGAGTTGCGGTGCAATTTTTTGTTTGGGCAGGCGACTACTCTGCTTTTGACTACAACATTGCCTTTATTTTTCTTTCACCGCCAACTTCCCAATTTCGGAGAGGCGGTCATGTACGCCGAATTTGGCGACGGCAGTTGCGGGTGTCTGTATGGGCATCAGCTCATACGATCACGTCGTCAGAATGGGAAGGAAAAAGAAGTGCGCTGAAGATTATGCCCCCAAATTCCGCAATTTTGAGGTGTGTCCTGACGGAAGTTGTAGCGAAGACCACGTTGTATATGTGCCGTTATTCTTTGAGGGATCACAAGTATCACAGCTACAAGAATCATCTGATCCGGTGTTCTTCCATATTCACCGAAAAAAAACTGTAAACTTTTTTGGGAATAATTAGACACCAAACAAAACTGAAAATTGAATTTTAAAATAAACACCGAAAAAAGTATGCCAAATTTGAAAAAATAACAACCGAAAACGCTGAACCCTATTTATTTCGGACCTGACTCACAGCAACACTCATGGGCTGTCCTCCCCAACAGAACCAGAGGGTGTACCAGCTACATCAGCAGGTGAAAGCGTGCTCCCCGACGATGGCTGCAGTATGTTCGAATGTCAGCCGCAGCTGGAGCGACACAGGGATAGCGCCACTGCAGTCGGGGAAGGTAAGCTGTGAAGACCCCACTCGCCATGTTTTTTTCTGAAGAGTGAAGACGCAACTACAGTGCGACCCACTTATAACGATAATAAGAAATCTAGAAATTTCAATCGTTATAACCGATTATCGTTGTATCTAGACTAGAAACTAATCATTTCTACTCTAGATACTCTAGAAACTGATCGTTACAAGCGGTATATCATTATATGTGGTATCGTAAGTGGGCTGCATTGTAACAACATTTTAGTCGCAACTAAAACAAACTGTTTTATGATGAATATTACGATTGAATCATATACTGTTCTTCATATCTCTTCAAGCTTTCTTTATTAGCCTAATGTTTATGTGCAATAATGAATTTGATGTTAACCTATGCTGTAGGTTTTTTTCTTTTTCAGCTGTGATGCCCTTTTTTGATGATTGTAATTGCACAAACAGATGTAGCAGTAGAAATTGGGAAATGTTTGGAAATAAGGATCCCCCGGTCCATCAGAGGCTCTCATTGTTTTGATATTACAGATTATTGTTCGAAAAGGGTGGTTCACAGGAGTTTGCTTGGTGGCATATAAAGCTGCCAAAACCTACGCTTTTTAAAGTTTTATATTTCTTTATTTTGGATTTTGCAGAAAGGGTGTGGGTGTATGCTTGCCAGGGAGCCGAACTTGAAACCTGCAAAATAGGGCTCACGGTCCGCTTGGCCGATCTGGTCTGGTATAAAAGAATCTTTAAATACAGTCGAACCTCGTTATAACGAACTAGCATTGGGAGCAGAAATTTGTTCGCTGTGTGCGATATTCGTGATAAAAGTACACACAAAAATTGATGCGAACGTTCCCGCAATCGAGCCCATGCAAGAACGTGCACAGCACTAAGATATAAAAATGCGCCATCGCGGACCACGAGATCCTTACCTGTCACTAAGCAGCATTAAAAAATAGATCGGAGCATGAGGATATGAATTTGCAACACGAGAAACGACGTTAGCTGAATGTATTATTCCATTTATTTGAAGACGTGATTCTGGGCTGGTGCCTCTTCACCTTGAGCCACTGTGCTGGAGCCAACCGCTGCTCACGCTGAAATCATCATGCTCTAGCAGACACGCCAGACTGATTGCTTTCGTCTGAAGAAGTTGACCAGACACTGGCAAATTTCGCACCGTTACGTCTTTAAACCATGAGAACAGAGCCTCTTCCACGTCCGGGTCGATGCAAGGCCTAAGACACTTTCGGTCAGTCTTGACGGTGTTGTTTGCATAGCAGACTTCGATTTTCTTCCTTGTACTTAGGATGGTAGATATCGTGCTTGTTACAAGCTCGAAGTCCGCAGTGATGTCTTTTTTATTCCGACCGCTGTCCACAGCCCTAAGCACCTTCACTTTTGTCTTCAGAGAGATAGCTTTTTGCTTCGTCACCATTTGCAGCTCCACTACGAGTGTTGTGGTTGGCGGTAGGTTTTAGTCTGTACTGGTTCTTGATGCCTCGCATAGAAGCCAGCAGCGGCGCAACTGCCGTTATTCGCCTGGTTCAAAGGTAGCACTACCTCCCGAAACGCGCATTTTTGCACATCAGACGGTCTAAGCTTTTGGAATTTTTCGTTTAGAAATTACTTTTTGTATTTTTTCAACTTTTCAATAACCTTCATAGTATTTTGTGGCACAAAAAAGCAGGAATTGCTTCGCTATAACCGATAGCGCGTCAGATTTCACGATTTCGGTTTCGTTATATAACTAGAACTCTCATCCAAATAAAGCATGACCAACCACACTTCGTGATTAGTTCACTATATCCAATGATTTGCTATATCAGTGTTCGTTATAAAGAGGTTCAACTGTATTATCTCTGATAAATAAAATCTCGAGACACCAAAAATGGTAGATTATGAAGATGTGCGTCTTCAGTGGTTGTCATGTTTAGTGGTAATTAGATTAGGTGACAATATTGGAAGTCTAACAATTTCTAGAAACAATGAATAAGTACCTATAGTGAAGTCATTAAAATAATATTGTTACTTGAATTGCATATTTTTGAAAACAATATTCCACATGTTTTTGGAGTTTGCAGGCTTGTGTTTTATGATATCTGAATCGCTTAAATGCAATTTTAATGGCATATTGTCCTCGTACACAGATATCTAGTAGAAAAAACATCAATTAGTATTTGGTACAACTGTTGCGGGAGCATGCAAACGGAAGAACAAATATTTTGAATGCCAGCCAGACAACTATCTTCAATTTTTATTTTTGCTATTGTACCAATTGTTTTACTCTGTAAAAGTGTTCATCTCGATTAAAACATTCTGAATAATACAATATAAGTAGGAAATGGAGCCCTTTTCTTGAGTCTTGAAGGAGGGAAAAGATTCTAACTTGTAGCTTAGTCAAATCAACTCGTCTTTTAGTTAATTATTATAACGAGGCCATTCATATGTAAACAAAATAGCTAATGCATTAAAAGTGGTGCAGAATAAGATACACTATACTCCGTTTCACCTTAAGTTGTACCGTAGCGAAGGCTAGAAGCACGAGCTCATAGCGTTTGCGGCTGCCCTTAATGCACGAGAGCTTGTGCCGCCGAGATCTATCCCAGAGCATCGAGCTCGCGCTTGTAGCCTTCCCTGCTGTACATCATAAGGTGAAATAAAGTATAGTCTAAATACAGCATACAAGAAGGTTGCATTATAGAACAAGGATTTAAAAGAAGACTGTGCGAACAAAAAACGTTGCAAGTGTTGCTTGCAATGTGCTTGAGAACTAAGCTCATGCACATGGAGCGAGGCAAGGTCCCCTGCTGCATCAGTTGCTGGTCGGCGATTCTTGGCGGAGCCCTTTTCTTTAAAAATGAATGGTTCGATGTTCGAAGGACGCCTCTTGTTACCCCTGTGACAGAGAAAAAGCAAAAGTTGCATCTCCTTGCTTTGAGAAGGCAGAAAGACTGAAAGGAATAGAATTAGAACCTATAGTCCTTTGCAACCCAAGAAGGTATTGCGGGGGGAGGAAGCGTGGGGGAGAGGAAGCAGACGGAACGCTGGAGAAGAGTGGGAGAAACCTCCTCCCCTCTTTAGCGTTTTGTCTGCTTTCTCCTCTCCGGCCTTCCTTTCCCTTGCCCTACCTTCTTGAGTTGCGACGGACTATAGCAAGTTGGGTTTGTAACGGCTCAGTTTCTGCGTTTCTGGTGTTTGGTGCCTTGCCTGTTTCATATATATATATTATGTGCATTTCTTCGGACAGAGGTGGACCAAGCAAGTGCCGCTCTCACCTCTGAGGGTTGGGACGGGGAAGATGCTCTTGGCCTTTCCATCTCACACCAACGCCTAAACGAAGTCGAAACAGCCGCAGCTGTCGTGAAAGAAGGCAAGTTGTCCTGGCAGCCTTACTCTAGAGCAGTTGTTCTCAAACATTGATGTTTCGCGGACCCCTTGTGGATCGCCAAAGATGATGGGGGACCCCGTTCGTGGTGAGGGGAAGAGGAACATATAGGTTAATTATGATAAGGATTTAATAAATCGGTGTAAGTGCTAGACCTCTATCATTGACATGCACACGAGAAAACGCACTCGAAAGTTGGAAATTTTCTTCTCAATCTAGAAAAATGCAACTTTTATTGCCGGTCTTGACTAATGAGGCAGGGCTTCGCGGACCACTAGAACGCCTTTGCGGACCTCAAAAGGTCTGCGGACCCCCATTTGAGAACCATTGCTCTAGAGACTGTGGGTCATCTTCGATGGTGCGCCTCAGCTTGAAGCAGAATGAAGCGCAGCCTGTCTAGTGGGGCTGTGCTTTAAGGTTTCTTTGTGGCACCTCTATCTGTGCCCCTTCATCAGCAAACTGGGAAACCCAGCTGGGACTCTCGTTGAAGTCCCCATCAGAGATGCAAAAAAAGTGTGCTTTTCGATCCAAGCGCGAACGGGTTCCACATTTTCTTCGAGGTCGAGCGCTTCCTTTTCTTTGAAGTTCCATTTCACAGTGACACAAATGTGACTGCTAGGGGAAGCACACGGCGGCGGCCTCGGATGCCTAGCATCCAGAGTGCTCTCGTTATGTTCCATTTTTCCGTTGGTTGTGCGTGCATGCCCGACGATCACCTGATGCGGAAATGTCAAGTAGAAAGTTTGTGCTGGAAATATTATGACTGTGGAATCCTTTGGGAGTCAGTCAAATGCTAAGGTTAAACTGCATACAACGACGATTTGTAAGAGTTATCTACGATTGCCGCATTGGACGGAGAGATTTTATTATTACGTGCGTCTCTTGGATGCTCTTTTTTGGATAGACGACTAGTTCGCAACATGTTTTTTTTTTATATAAACTGCTCAACGCTGCTATTGATTCCCCCCTGTTATTGAGTAGAATCTCACTTCATGTCCCCCAGTGACAAAATTGGTGTACAGTTTCTTTTTACCCTTCTAACTTAGAATCTATTCCTCTATTAACACGGATGCAGTCCATGTATGACAAGTGTTTTAACCCTGACATGGACCTTTTCACTACCCTCGCATGTTTTAAAAACAAGTGTAATACTGAGGCTAACTTTGTAGTGTGAAAATATTGTCGCAAATGACAAGGTGAAGCAAAGAATAACTGGGGAAACTGAAACGTTTAATGGGGCGAAGTTGTGCCCAAAACAAAAAGGAAGAAGATAACAACAGAGCGTCGCGGGCGTCGAAGTCGGCGTGGCAGCAGAGTTGAACGCTGGGGCGAAACTGACTCTGCTCGCCTTGCGGAGGCCCTCATGTTTCCTCGTAGGTTTCTGGATCATTCGGTGTAGAACTTTTGGTGCATAGAACATTCGGAACTTGATCAGACAAGAATGTTCTCGAACTTACGAGAAGGCCAAGTTGAAAGAATAAATAAAAGGACAGTCCGCTGACTGGAATCGAACCTAACACTTTACGCGCGATAGGCAAGCGTGGTAACCACTCGGCCACGCACGTGCTTGCTCGCCGACGTGCGTGGCATTACTCCCCCCTTTAAAAGTGCATAGTCTCGATGCGATGTGCTGGGAAACAAAAACAGCAAAACAAACAAAAATAATGGTGAACTACGTAGACTTGTGCAACACAATCCTATTGAGCGTATTACAAAACAGTTCACAGTTCTATCGATCGTAGTATGGCGTGAGGCGCACGACGTGAACGATTTCCGGTCGTGGAAGACGGCGTGATGAAGTCTGTGTTCCGTCAAGCATCACCTCGTAGTTCAGATCCCCGAGTCAACGAAGCACTTTGTAGGGTCCAAAGTAGCACTTCAGGAGTTTGTCACTGAGACCACGGCGGCGGATCGGTGTCCACACCCACACCCTGTCTCCGGGCAGGGAGTGGACGTCCCGACGACGAAGGTTGTAGCGGCCAGTGTGTATACTTTGTTAGGCTTGAATCCGCAGTCTGGCCACACGCGTCGGCGAGCGAGCACGTGTGTGGCCGAGTGGTTACCACGCTTGACTGTCGCGCGTAAGGTGTTAGGTTCGATTCCAGTCAGCAGACTGTCCTTTTATTTATTCTTTCAACTTGGCCTTCTCGTAAGTTTAAGAACATTCTCTTCTGACCAAGTCCCGAATGTTCTACGCAACGAAAGTTCTGCACCGGATGATCCAGAAACCTATGAGGGTACATATGGGACCCTACAAGGCGAGCGGAGTCAGTTTCGCCCCAGCGTTCGACTCTGCTGTCACGCTGACTTCGACGCCCGTTACGCTTTGTTGTTATCTTCCTCCTTTTTGTTTTGGGCACAACTTCGCCCCATTAAACGTTTCAGTTTCCCCAGTTATTCTTTGCTTCACCTTGTCATTCGTGACATTTTGGTGGAGGTGCTGGGTAACGCATGTCCGTGCAGCGCAGCCCTCCAAGTTCCCGCAGTACAAGTCCGAACCCAAGCTCCCAAAGACGCAACAAAGACCGGATCGAGACTTGATCAAGTCGCCGCATCCAAGGTCTACACCCGGAACACGGACTTGTGCCACCCAGGACCAAGCAGCCAACGAGGCCGACAATGGATGACCAGCAGTCGCAGACCACGGCTGCTTCTATCATCATTTACCTGCCCGTCGCACCGCGGACGGCTGCTCCGTTCCACGGCGAGCAGTATGAAGATGTCGAAGACTGGATCGACCAGTACGAACGCGTTGCCTGCCACAATGGCTGGACAGATCAGCAGCGCCTGCACAACGTCTATTTTTCGCTTGAGGGGACTGCCAAGCACTGGTATGAAAATCATGAATCCTCTTTGATATCATGGGACATTTTCAAGAGCGAGCTGAAAGGCACATTTATCAACCACCACCGCCAAGAGAGAGCCGAGGATCTACTTCAAAGCAGAACCCAGGGCTTCAACGAGACTGTCATCGGCTTCGTGGAGGACGTTCTGCGCCTGAGCGCCCGCACCGACCCTCGGGCCACAGAAGAAAAGGAGCTGCGAATCCTCATGCGGGGCGTGAGAGACAACATCTTTGGCGGCCTGGTCCACAGCCTTCCGACAACAGTCCAAGATTTTGTCACCGAGGCGACGAACATCGAACGTGCCCTCCAATCACGGACCTCCCACTACCAGCGACTTCCCGGCATCGCTGCACTCTCGCCTCCTAGCTGCAACAGCCCGGGACGTCGTGTGGGAGGAAATTCAGAAGCTTTTACCTGCCGCCGCAAGCCCAGCTTCGCCCTCAATCGCCAAGATTGTCCGGGAAGAAGTTCATCAGGCGCTGCAGCGAAAACTTCTCGTCGACGCGCGTGCCAATATTTTTGGTCCGATTGTCTTTCACTTTGTGCAAGTGTGACCCTCCTAAGGCCTTAGCAGTTGTTTGGGGCGCAATGAAACACAAATTAATTGATTGATTAATTATTGGTCATGAAGGTGCATTTGCTAACACGACCGTAAGGCTTGCAGCTCACAAAACCTCAAAGACCTGAGGTCCAGTTCGTACATCTTCCGCTTTGGTCAGTTCCAAGAGATCCGTCGTCCTTTTGCTTGATGGCGGTGTCAGACATTTCTGAACACCAGGAGCCTCTGGCTGCTACATCGCCTTTCTAAATATTGACGTTGGAATTAGATACATTCAAAATGGCAAAACCGTATCACCACCTTCCACGATGTTAATTACACAAGCAGGCAAACCGTGTTCCTTGCCTTCTTGCATCCGCAACTATGCGCCAACAAAGATATGTACTGTCGCAGAATCCTTGGTCGTCAGATGAGTGATCCCCACGTAGTTCGATGGGCATAACAGGGGCGGAAGTTCGGGGACTTGAACGCTTTAAAGCTGTTCATCTTCATCAATAAAGCTGCATTGTTCCCCGAAAGTGCAAAGTGTGTTCCTTCTTTGCACGGTTGTGACATGCTGTTGTTCTGTAAAGGGTTGTCCAATAAGAAGAGGAGTTGCTTGCGTTTCACTTTGAACGTGGTAGATTGGAACGCGGGCTTGCTTCCGTGATTACACACGGTAGGACCTGATCGAAACCATAGCCTCCAATCTTACATCCTCGGGACGGCTTGTCATAGCTGATTCCCAAATCATCGGCACCCCTCTTGCATAGCGTAACGCATTGGCTTCCAAGTTGGGACAAGCTTCCCGTCTATGAGGGCGTCTTGAAAATACTTCCCATTTTCTGCATTTACTTGCTCTTTGTTTTTAACATGATGATTTCGACAGTCATACTTCCTGTGTCTCTTCCTCTGCAGTCAACTGTTTTATGTCCTATTCGGTGACATAGCTGCAGTGTTCCCGCTTCTTTGCTTTACTGCAGTTTGCAGACATATGTCCATGTTCGTTACAGTTGAAACACCATGGCCCACTTTAGAGTTACATGGCGGTTTTCGTTTTGGAAATCTGTGGGCATTTTGGTTGCTGGACGAAACAATCTTTACCGTCCCTGTAACGGATGCCATGTTGGATCAGTGGTATGCTTCCTCGGCGACGGCAAGTCGGTCTTTTAAACTTTCGAGGCGTTCCATCAGAGCCTCTTTGTCGTTGATGCCTGTAATGACATAGTCCACGATCTGATCCTCCGGAAGTTGACAAAGGCGCGCCAGGCCGAGTTTCTTATGACAATACTGCTCGACGGTTTCGTTCAGCAGTATTCACCTTGCTTCCATATTCCGGTGTTGGCGTTGTAGGTTTATGACAGGTGGAAATGCCTTTTTTAGCTCCAGCTTCGATTAAAGCCATGAGCACTGGATGCTGACGAGGACGTCGTACCATGTTTTGACAATTCCTTCTGGCTTCGTTAGCTTAAAACACCGTCTGTCTCTCGTTCCGTGAGTATATCGCCGACAGTTGGTCAATTTTCGTGTCCAGTGTTCAACTGTCTGCACCGGATTCGTCGTGGGGTTGAAACCTCTTACCAGCTTACCAGAGACTGTGGGTGGTCTTGGGTCATGCGTGGGCTCGATTGTGGAACGAAGCAGGTCAGTCATGTCTGTGACCGCTCCTCACATGGCGGCTTGCGCAGCCTCCTGTACAATAGTGTGAAGTCCAGCTAGGTCACCTGTCGGTCCATACAACCCAGTCGGGATTGTTGGCGAAACGCTTGCTGGGTCTGCCACCGACTTTCGTTGCCCCACGGTGTCAAAGCGTTCCGAATCTTGAGCTGCCACGCCACCTTGACTCGTGGTTGCATCGTTACTACTGCCAAGGCTCGTGCTCCCTGTTCCAGTCGAGATGGTCGCTGGAAGTCGGGGAGGTCCCGCTGCCGCATTCTGCCATGTTTGGTTCCGCTCGCTCCTCCGCTGTCTTTCCTGCTTCGACCATGTTAAGGCTCTGATTGGCGCCGCTGCTGTGACGATTCATGGCCACACAAGTTAACTTACATTGGGCCATGGTCGCTAAATCAAGCTTTATTGATCCCACTTATGATATGTTAGGGCTTCAACATAGAGCATGGGAACCGGTGAAGGTTTTAGAAGGGGTGTTTAATATACGTGTGGCAGGCACGCCTGCCCAGCAAAAACGAATGGTGTGCCACGCGAGCGATGGCTCATGCTTGGGGTTAGTCGTCGTCTTTAGCAACGGCGCTAACACATGAATTAAGTTTGGGCCCAAACCCTGATGTGTTTTCGACTAATAAATATACTTCATCAAGCATTATAGTGTTGCTGGGATAAAAATTTGCATTTAGCATGTAGGAAAGATAGTGACACTTGAGGTTAATTACACTCTAAATTCTAAATACAGTCAAATCTTGTTAATTCAAACTCTCTTAATTCAAACTTGTGGATAATTGAAACTAACATGCAGGTCCCATCCTATGCTTCTCTATGGGAGGAAACTCCCGGTAAATCAAACTTTGTTGTATTAAACAAATTTTCCTTCCCCCTTGAGTTTGAATTAACTAGATTTGACTGTACTGGTAAAAAGGGTAGTTAACAATAAAGCTGGGTATTCATTATAACAGTGTAAAAAATAAAAGCAAAGCAAGGAAGGTTACAAATGGAGGACCCTACAACCAGTTTTTTCTTTTGATAGATTTTCATGTTTTCAAATAAGGAAATGTATGGATTTCTTAACCAAAAACTTCCAGTATGCTGAGCTAACTGCAAATGTAAAACCGTTTCGGGATTTAATCCCGAATCCCGAATTGGTTTCACATTTGAGGGTTTTAACGTTTTGCGCTGTGAGTTCTAGCAGCTTTATGTTCCCTTTGGAAGTTTGTACAGTTCTAGGGGAAGGTGAATTATCTTTTGTCCTTCTCTCTTAGATCAACCCCTGACATTCCAAATCAGCAGGAAGATAAACACTTGCGGGTTCTTTATCCTAAGAAGCTTTTTCAATTTTGATGTGTTGCAAAGCAATATTTTGGTATTCAATGTTATATCAAACTTTTTGGACACTATACAGCACTATTTGATTTGAATTCGCATCAAGCTAAAATTTTACTATTTACACATCTCTGTACAATATACGGGCTTGAGCAGGGCATAGCAACCAGAAACCTAGTTCCTTTTTAACAGATGGATAGAACCAATGTTTACTAACCTGACTGAAGAAAACAACAAAAAACTTGAGACGGATGTCACTTGCCTCCTTACACATTACCAACAAGAACTCCAGAGTGTAGAGAATGCTTAACGTGGCCCATCCAGAACAGGCAAAAATCACGCTTTCTCCTAAGACTCAACACCCATAAACTAAATGATGTGCTGTGAATACCTTCCCCAATTAGAAGTGGGCTAGCACAGAATGGTGCAGACTTCAGAATGCTTCTGACTTGTTTGGAACTGTTTTATCCTGTAACAGTTTGAGATTACAAAATTTATCCAATGGGTTTCTTCAGAGCCAACTGATGTGGAATGGCGTTGCTCCAACTACAAAGAGTGCAGCAGCTCTTCTGCCCAAGAACGGTGGGACCAGGGACAGCAGGAGGAACAAGGCGGGTCCAAGGGCCACGACTGCCGCTTCTGCCCTTTCTCCAGTCTCTTCAAAAGCAACGTCACTGTGCACGAAAGGACACACACGGGAGAGCGGCCCTTCACCTGCAACCACTGCCAGATGGCATTCACTACCAGGCGGGGCTTGATTGCTCATGCAAGCACTTTTGGAGACAAAGAACACTTTAAATGCTCTGCTTGCTCGCGAGTATTTCTGCAGGAGGATTGCCTGCTTGAGCACGAAAAGATTCATGTGCACGAAAAGCCCTACAAATGTGACACTTGCGGCAGAAGATTCCAGTCAAAAGACGGCGTCGCACGTCACCAAGATGTACACGTGCGTGAAAGTCGCGTTAAGTGTGCCACGTGTCCACGGACATTTAGGTCAAAGCAGAACTTGGCGAATCACCTTCGCCGCAACATCTGCAGTGAGGTGAACGCTCGTGAGAGCGCTCATATAGATATAAGGCCTTTTCAGTGCTCCAAATGCCCTAAAGCTTTTAAAGAAAAATGCCACTTGGTTGCTCATCAAAAGTCTCACATGAATGAAAACCTTTTTAAATGTCCCAGATGTCCCCAAGCATTTCAGATGGAGTCTCAAATGGCTGCTCATAAGATAACATTGCCTTTTAAATGCCTCACCTGCCCTAAAGCCTTTCATTTAAAGGCCTCTTTGGCAGTTCATGAAAGAGTTCACTCATCTGACAGACCCTTTAAATGCCCCGCATGCCCTAAAGCATTTCGACAGAAATCTCATTTGACTGGTCATAAGGTAACTCACACACATGAGAGGCGCTTTAAATGTGCCATCTGCCCAAAGACATTTCAAACAAAGTCTAATTTGACTACTCATAAAGTAACTCACGTGGATGAAATGCCCTTTAAATGTGCCACCTGCCTTAAGGTGTTTCGAACAAAGTTTAATTTGAGCAATCATGAAATGATTCACACAGGTAAAAAGCCCTTTAAATGCACCACCTGCCCTAAGTCATTTCAAAATATAAGTTGCTTGAGAGACCATGAAAGGACGCACACAGGTGAAAGGCCCTTTAAATGTGCCACATGCTCCAAAACATTTAGATCGAAGTCGAATTTGTTTAAGCATGAGAAAGTACACAGATTAAAGGCCATTTAAATGTCCCATTTGTCCTCTTGCATTTCAAAGGAAGCATTCCTTGACATACCATGAAATGGTTCACATTGGTGGAAAGCCCTTCTAATGTGCTTTCTGTCTAAGGCTTTCAAATGAAAACTTATTTGACTGCTCATAAGAGTTCATGGGAGCTGCAAAGAAAAAGGCCAGCCATACAAAGCAAGGTCCAGCAACTGGTGTCAGGCTCACGAATGAAAATCAATCTAACTGCTGCGTCTGCCCTCAAGCCTCGGGCATTGTGAAGGAAGAAGCGATGGGCCATTTTTGGAAAAACAGCTCTTGTGAATGGAAAGTACTTTAAATGCCTCACAATCCTTGACGTGTTTCTTTTGTAGTGGCAATTTACTATTAAAAAAAAAATGAACTCCCATAGATAAAACATCCTTCAAATGTCTCATCTAACTTAAATAGTAGTGTTGTGTGAATAGGGAATTTTGAGTTCGAAGCCAATTTAAAGCGAATAGTGGTTTTGGCCGAAAATTTTTTATTCGAATATGGAATAGCTTTTACATCTTTCACTACTATTGCGTAATGCTTAGATGAAAACCTAGCTAAGCTAGTGGAAATTGTTGCACTTGTTCATTTACAAGCTGAGTTTAATCTATTTATATTTATGAACTGTGAACTCAGAAGGTCTGATGTCTTGGGATGGCAAGTAATAGACATATTTGACATAAGATGAATCCTATAGAGATGGCAAACTATACACAATTGAGTAAATCTACAAATCTTGCTATATAAAATATTCTTTCTTTAATCGAGTTAAAAGAGACTGAATTGCGCATAATGAATGCAGGCTGTGAGGGCGTCTCTGCCTAACGTAGTATACTCTTGCATAACAGTAAGTTTAATTTTAAAACTTTTACTACAATGCAGATATACACATTCACAAAGTTCCCATTTATTTTCATATGCAGACCATCCCGCGTGCACCATCCCACTTTGAATGTATGCTGTTTTTCCAAGCAAGCGATGGCGATATTCATACCTTTCCAAGTGTTTATCGCAGCAGGTTACCCCATGGAGTGTGCATCTTACCTAGCACCAATGTAAAGCAGAGAAGCAACACCCGCAGAGCTCACTTTTGCTGGTATTGCTTCTCCACAGTGCACCGGTTCTCGGTGAGAAGCGCACTAAACGGGGCCGTATATTGGGAGAGTTTGGCCAGTGGGTGTGGTGACAAAGGTGCCAAGAGGAGAGAAGTGAAGGAAAGGGAGGAGAGCGCCATAGGAGTGAGATAGAAAGAAGGGAGCAAAGAGGAGACGACCGCTGTTTTGACGCAACACTCTCGGCGCAGAGCACTGTTGAGGCTGCGCGTCGCCTGGTACGAGCTTATTTCTTTTTTGCCTGAATATTATTTTGTGTTCACACGTGGAGAAACTTCATTAGTTAGCTCTTTAAGCCATTGAGGAATAACATATCATTTTCTTGCCAGAGCCTGCCAAATAGAAGTAAAGGATCAAAATTTGAATGTCGATCTCATGCATTCCGCCAGGCGAATGAATAAAAATGGGAACCCTCTCTGCTCAGCTGGGAGCAGCTGGGAGTTCACGCGCATGCGCTCATGCCCCTCGCTCTGCGCCGCGGACTGATTGGCTCACTTGGGAGAGGGACGTTACGGCGGCGAGATCATAGACTGGCCAAACCACTGATCTCTATGTCTATTTGCTGGATCGCATTTGACCAGCTCCTCCTATGGACCGGAATGCGGTCACTGGCGGCCATCTTTAGGTAGAGTTATATCATCTCTAGCCATCATTGTAATATGGCGGACAGCGCATGGCGGCCGGGTGCCATAAAATAGCCGTGGATCTAGTACACTGTACCATGGGAGATATTTCGTGCTTGATTCAAGTTGTTCGACGACGCAGACTCTTGAAACCCGGTGTGAACGGTAGCCTCATCTTTGAGGACCCGGAGAAAGTTCTACGAAAGCGCAGCACCGGGGGAAAGCAGCGCAGCTCGCATCGAAAGCGGACTCCGTAAAGGCGTCTGCTTTTGATGCTAATTTTGATGCGACTTTCGATGCAAGCTGTGCTGCTTTTCCCCCGGTGCTGCGATTTCGTGAAACTTTCACCGGGTCCTCAAAGATCGCGCTACCGCTCACGCTGGGTTTCAAAAACATGTTTCGTCAAACAATTTCAATCAAGCACGAAATATCATCCACCCTATTTTGACGGCAGCCTGCCACCACACCTGCCAAAACGCTGTCTGCCATGGATGGATTACAGTGGCTGCAGGAGCTGTACCTTGGCTAGAGGTAATATAACTCTACCTTAAGATGGCCGCCAGTGACCGCATTCGCAGAGCGGGCAAACGCGATCCAGCAATTGTCATTGAGATCAGTGGGCCAAACTCTCTCCATATACGGCTCTGACCCGCCGCAATCAACACTTCTAAAAACGAGAATAGTGCAGTTTTTCTCGAAGCGAATATTGAATAGTGTATTGTTCGAAACTACTATTCGAAATTTTGATTATTCGCACAACCCTACTAAATAGTTTTAGATGATGGAAGACCTCACATGGATGAAGGTCCTTTGAGATCTGCAACTTTCTTTGATTGATTGCAAATCAGTCTAATTGACTGGTCATGCGAGATGAATGCAAGGCTCTTTAATAATCATGAAGGAATGTAAATCAGTATTAATCTGCAATTATGAAACATGCGACAGTGAGAGATGGAACTTCAAGAGGCACCACGACTACTGACATGGGCCTAAAGCCATTTAGCTAGGACTGCATTTTCTCAGATAATGAATACACATTTTTTTGTAAAATGGATGCAGATGGGAGGTGTTTATTACATGGGGTAATATTTGGAGTGGATATTTTATAACCATGGAGATTGGATAGAAAATAGGTTGATAACTGAATCCTTGCATTTGAAGACTGAATTATAAAATGCACCAATTGGCACTTTTACCTTAGTGCCGCAACTCTGCTTCATTGAGTTTATCCCGAATGGGAACGCTCACTCCTGTCACTGATTGACATACCTTTTTCAGAAGGAACCGACATACCTTTTTCAGGCCCTGCACTGTTTAAGAAAGATGGTGAATATGTTCAGTAGAATTTTTGTGACATAAGGTGGGAAGTAGAGAATTTTCAAATTTATTTTGTTCAATTGAAGATGGCAATCTTGGTTTAGGTTGTATTTTTGTGAGGCAATTAATAGACCTGATGCAATTTTGGCGGCGAATATCGGCGCAGTGTCGAAAATGCCGGGAAGCAAACCTCAAAGAAGGGGGCCTCTTCATTTGCCTTTCGACCCAATACTTGATGAGAAGTTTCAAAATCGCGGTGACCATTGGTTTTAAAATGAAGAATTTCTGTAACGATGACATCGAACAAGGTCCGTTACCGATCGCACCATACAATCATTAAGCGTTAGTTGAATCTCTTACTTCCAAACTAACAAAAAGTATTTTGAAAGCAAAAAAAAGCTGAAAAGATGCGTTCTACAAATTTTGGAGTTCATTACCCAAACTTGTAGCTTCACGATTTCACCGTACAAGATGGAAGTGTTTGGCAGGGGTGCAGGGGTCAGAACTTATATAAGCCTGGGTATATCGAAAAAGATTTCTTATCAAGGAAGTACCCCGAAGGAGGATATTCTTTTAAGGGGGAACACTACTCCGGAAGGCTAACTTTTGAACCGTTTATCTTAGTTGCATGAAATTTGCAGGGTGTACTCATAGCACTTGACAAGGATGCCGTGGAAATTTTCAACCCTATAAATTTATCTCACGATGAGTTACATAAAAGTTCATAATAAAAAAGTGTATCTGCTGAGGAAAGCTATCGTTTAGAAAGGGTAATGAAAATGGCCAGTTTTTTTGCTGGAACATACAGCAAAATACTTGCTTCAGACAACTATGAAAAGAAATTTCAAAAATTATAAAATTTATTCACAAGAAAATATGGAAAAAAGTTTTTTTTTTTTTGGTGTACATTTGATTAAAAGAAATATAAACTTTTCGTAACAAAAAAGCAGAAAAATGCAGAAAGTAAGTTCACAGTCGTGTTCTCAAGAAAATTTCAATACAGAAAAACCAAAATATATCTGCACGCGTAATTTGATTATGAAATGATAGCTTCCCTGAACTGATACTTGACACTAAAAAGTGAAGCTGAGATAAATGCCCTTGAAGTTTCAAGATAACATTTTAAAAATTTCTTTTTGCGTCTTAAATGTCAGAAATTCTTTCCAGCAGTGTATGTGATGTCTTCCTCAAACTCCTTCTGAAATACTGATATTGATTTCAGTTATTTTCACTTGTGGATGACGAGTGGTACGCAATGCAGCACACCTCACCAACATACAAAGGATAATTATTTTTGACATCATTTGTCAGTGCACATTGACAAGACTTTGTGAGAGTGTTCCTTGTTATCCATACATGCCAAAACTCTGCAGTTTTGAATATGAATATTTTTGGAAAAAAAGTGCAATTCAAGGTAGTGTCCCCCTTAAGGGATCTGTGCAGATCAGTAAATTTGAGAATCCGAATGCGAGTGCAGCATCAGAGGAGCGCAGATTGACAAGAAACGCTTTGGGTATGTCGATGCATCACTGCTATCTAGATGCATCACATTCCGAGTGGCTTCCTATTGCGTCCCAAAACAAGGATGGCGCGCTGCCATCTTTTAGGCAGTTTGGGCAATGTTTCCAGTAGATGGCGCCGGAAATATACTAGATAAGGCCTATTGCCAGGTGGAAGTTCTTTAAGCTACTGCAACACCCATTCCTCGAAATATTCAAAATTATATTTTTGCAAAATATATGGGATTCAATGTTCGTACAACTGATGCACTTGGGGCACTAAAATGCTCTCTAAAATCCTCATTTATGGTCAGAACTCTATCTACGAGCTCTAAGCATCCTAAAAAAAAAAACCGAAATTACATTCATGCATGGACTATTTGCATATAAAAAAAATGATCAACAGTTGCAATACTTACCGTTGTCGCAGAACAGCAGATGG